GGGTTTCTATAAAGTCACCATTCAGTACTTTAGACAATAGGTTCCTGTAGCACTGTAATAGAAATATTGTAATGAAACCAAATGAACCACTGAACTTAGCATTCAGTCAGGTAGACATTAATGAATGAGGGAATACTGTGATGATTTCCCATTAAAGATTAGATCAGGCTGTAAAAAATTAAGACAACTGATCATATGTAACACCAAACACTACAATTACAGCTAAAACTTCACTGTAATCTGTGTAAATGCAGCCTAAACCAGAAGTAAAATGAGCTTTTTTTTTTTTTTTTTGCTTTTCACATGCAGATTGTAGAGTGTCATAGCACTTGGCCTCCTACCTGTCGTCTTTGTCTTTTTTACTATTGTGTGCTGGAATGGTTTGTGTATTAATTCAGAGAACAGGACATGCAGGTTATGTTGTGTATTCCATGGGGTAAAATGGTGTTAGTCTACAAAGTGAATAGAAATCATTAATAAGGACTCATCTGTTGAATGCTATGCATCCAAACAACTGCAAAGATTAACAGCAGTCAAGCTGTTGAAAATGACATTTTTCTTTTGTATATAAAACTGATTGGATTGAGTTACATGCCATAAACCAAGAGTATGAGTTTATGGCAGGCGAAAAAGGATGACTATCATCCTAATTTGTGTCTCAGATGTTGTACTCCTGATAAATGACTGTGACCTGCACTGGGGTGATTGCACATAGTGGATCGCATTAGCTTAGAGTTTATGGATTGTAAGATCAATCTTTTCTGCTGACATTATCCCAGCTACTTTTTTCTTGTTCCCACATGTTCCCTGTTTAAAGGGTCAGTTCACCCAACTTAAATAAAGAAATATTTTATCACTTATCCTAACCTAGTTAGATTTTTTTTTGTTTGTTTGTTTAATTTGTCCAGGTTTTGAGACAACCATCTCTGTGATTACTGACTTTTCCCCTGATTCAGTGGAGAGGATTTTATTTGTTTGTATAGTTACTGAACTAAACAACATACATTTAGCAGCAACATATGTTTCATGAAAATGTGTCTCAATAATCCACAGAACACACTGTCAACAGGGACTGCTGGTTAGGCAGAAAGTAGCAGGGTGTTACCCTATTGCAGCCACCCACATTTCCTGTCAGTGAATAGACACACACTCACAAAAGCCCTGAATAAATGAAAATTTCAGCCACTGTTATGAGAGTTAGCTTACAGTTCATTTTATATTTTTGTGTTTTTTCCTTCAGGCTCCAGGGAAACAGCCTTCACCTACGCCATCAGCGCAGCTGGTGTAGTCAATGCCATTAGCCGAGCGTGCCGTGAGGGCGAGCTCTCCACCTGTGGCTGCTGCTGGGGTGCTCGACCCCGTGACCTGCCGCGTGACTGGCTGTGGGGTGGCTGTGGCGACAACGTCCATTATGGTTATCGGTTCGCCCGTGAGTTTGTAGATGCCAGGGAGAGGGAGAAGAATTACCCACGCGGGTCACCCGAGCATGCCCGTATACTGATGAACCTGCAGAATAATGAAGCAGGAAGACAGGTATGGGAGAGAAAAACACACATTTCTTTTTTAGCTTGGAAAAAAGAGCTTTAAAAAACCAATATAAATCCTATAAAGTCTAGAGCATGGAAGTGAAACTTAAGTGAAGGAAGTGTGTGCATTCATGCTTCTTAACCTCATACAACTGTCTGTTTGTTAGTAAGGAATGTGTGTGAGTGGAGGTAGCGCCTTACAACCTGAACCAGCAGTATTTTTGTGTGTGTGTAGGTTATTTATTGGGAGGTTGCAAATGATATAAATGCTAATGCCCTTGGAGTCTGGCTAGGTCGCAAGGTCAGCGCACATTCCATGGGAGTAGCACACACACACTTGTTTTCATTCCTCTTGGGGACCTTACATTTACGTACATTCATTTCTTGGAGACTTACCCTAACCTTAACCATAACCACTACTTGCCTAACACCTAACCTTTACCCTAACCCCTACTCTACCCTTAACCTAACGCCTAACCTTAAACCAGGTTGCCACTCTAAAATGTAATGATTTATGTGTTGGGGACCAACATATGGTCCCCATGAGGAAGGCCAGTTCCCCACAGAGTGGGTACACAGGTTTTGGTCCCCACAGTGTGAGCAATACCAGGTGCGCCGCCGATCACACACACAAAAGTTTGTACAGAGACATAAATGCACCAGCACAATGGACAATAACCTGCCTAATTGTACAATGAGATTTCCATATCCGACTTGTAGAAATTGTATAAGTAATCAAAGAAACAAGAAAAGACCCATGAATGAAGAGATGGATTGGCAGATGTATGAATGAATGGATCTGGTATGAATTGTCACACTAGTGTGCTCAGTTTCTTTTATTATTTGTCCCTTGCTGGTTGCCAGGTAGAGACAATTAGCTGTTCCAAACCTGGTGGAGAAGCTTGTTTAGATATACTTTCAGGTGGGGAGTGCATTACAAGAAATGCAGTAAAAGAAACCTTTCACCTTTGACACACACTCAGACACACACTTTTCTCATAAAGGGTCCATTTGCACATTCTGGTTTGCACTGGTTCAGTAGAAGGTGTTTATCTTCAGTTAGAGAAGCTTTGTTTAAGATGTTTACAAGACAGAGACGCTCAGTGTGTATTTGTGTGCCTGTGTTTGTGTGTCTATGTCTGTGTGTGCACAATTCAAATCAGTTTGATTTGTGTGAGAGACAGTAAAACTGATTTGTGTGTGTGTGTGTGTGTGTGTGTGTGTGTGTGTGTGTGTGTGTGTCAGAGGTCAGAGGTGAGGGTCTGTAGAGGTTGCGTTTCTGCTGAGGGTCCCATCGGGGCTGAAGGGAAGTGTATGAGGGACAGATCTACTGCTATAGCCTTTTCATACACACATATACAGTCACAGTTTTGTAACATGCACACTTTTTCAATGACATTTCCACTGTTCTCCTGTTTGTACTTTTACTTTCATTGTTGTCTGTCCATTGAAATGGAAGAGAGGAGAACAGAGAGATGAAAAGGAGGAGAGCAAGCGAGAGGAAGACAGTTTCTCTCCTTTTTTTCCATCCCCATTTCTCTTTTTTTTTCATGGACACGGTGGTTTGTCCTAAGCGGGATTTGTCTTGCTTGGTTGAACAAGGCAAACCACTGGGCTTTTATAGAGGTGACAGGGGCTTGCTGCTGTGTGTGTGCGTGTGTGTGTGTATATGCTCAGCTTCATTTGATCTGTATGAAAGGCTAACAACATGGTCGTCTGTGTGTGTGCAAGTGTCTGGAGACAGAGACGCAGAGTGAGGGATGGACCTCCGTCACACTCCCCCAACTCTCAAAGACTTACATACACACAGATATTCACACTTGAACGCAGCCATCTAGGTCCACTGTCTCCATTTCAAACAAATCAAATGAGGCGGTGCTTGTCACAGTGAGACCAAACCGGCCAGATACACATTCCCAGTCTATAGACAACAACAGGACACTGCAGCCTCTGCTCTGAACATACAATGTAACATTCAGATTTATCAGTCAACCTCTAAGAGTAGTCCAGTATGAATGCAGACACAGACATGTTTGTTAGTGTCTGTAGTCAGTGTATACAGACCATATGGTCATCAATTTTAGGCTGCATATGGATGGGCAATCACACAGAGCCTCACTGACCCTTGCAGCTTCCCAAATACAAAAGCTATTTGCTGGACCTTTAGCTGTTCTGCCCAGCAATCCTTGTAGTTTTTCCCTGTAATGCCATCACATCATCTTGTCCTCATGAGAACAGAAACAAATTGGCAGTGAGAGCAGCAGTTTGAAGCTTTAGAGAAGCACGTTTTTGATGTGAAGTTTATTGGTTTGAGTCACAACATCAACAGTCAGTGTAAAAGTCCACAATTGCATAAAGAAAAAGTAGAGCAATAAAACAATAGGAGAGAGAAGTAAATTGACGTTCCAAGAATTTACTTAAAACTAGTAATAAGATTTCTTAAAAGCACTAACAAAATTGCTCATGCAGCCTTAAGAGGATCAGACACAATGTCCCTGTTCTTTACTATCTTTACTCCTCATTCATGGCTTTTCCTGTCACAAAGGGTGGGCTATTTTCTCTATTTCTCCCCCATTTTAATACTAACTCTACACACACACACACACACACACACACATATTCACACACAAACATAGCTCCTAACTCCTAACCCTCTCTGAGCAGAACCTATTGTGCGTGACACAGAGACCGTGTCTGCACCACGGATGACTGAATGTGTGTGTGTGTGTGTGTGTGTGTTCATAAGGCCCAGTGTCACTGCGCCCAGCAGGCATGACCTACCAAAGAGCTCAGTATGATGCTGGATACACACATGCATGGTTTAATTTGACAGGTTTTTGAGGTTATTGGCCACCTGTAATGTAATAATTTAAAAAACTGTTTCTATAGCATTTTTCATGCAGAGAATGTGGCTCAAAGTAATAACAGTAGTACGAGTACTAAAATCAAGTAGGATGCACATTCACAGATACATTACAACATTTCAACTTTAAAAAGTTGTTGAAAACTAACTGGATTAGGGCTGTTTTAGGCCAAAAACATTCTTGGGAATTTATGGATGAGAAAAGCAGCACCTCCAATTTCTTTATTATGGTTACTCTAAACATCCCATAAACCCCACAGTGGGGGATGTTAGTGACTGTGATGGCTTGTAAAACAGCAAGGAGACATAAACTATAAGGAGTTCCTCCCTGATGAAGAGCATATGTCACTAATTCTAACTTGAAAAACTTTATCCTTTACCTCCCATTGACTCCTCTCACTCTGAAGCATAGTACCATATAATGAGGCAATAACAAACCTTCAAAAAATATTACTGTTCTACAAAATGCCATTGTACCTCGCTATCAGTGCCTGTCTGAGGGGGTCACAGGGGTTGAATCACAGGATTGGAGGGTGCTGAGTGCTATGCCTGCTGGGTAGTAAAGTAGAAGAATGGGGAGCAGGGGTGAGAGGTGGGGGTCGGTGCTGTTTGCGATGCCTGGGTTAACAGAGGTGAGAAGGTAATTGAGATCAGGCAGTGTGAGGAGACAGAGGGATGGGTTGTGTTTGTGTGAGGGGAAATTAAGAGTCAGAAATTACTGATGCCGCACTGGTGTTGCTGTATCTGTATTCATTTGAGAGGCAAAATGTAGCACAATAGATTACTGTCATCTGCAAACTGTATATAGTTTATGAGGAGGGTGTGTGATGTGACTTGTTTGCCGGTAGGACAATAAATCTTGTATAGTATTTGCAGTCCTTTTTTAACATACACATATGGACAAAATGCTTCTTGATGTTGAGACTAAATTGAACCATTTTGCAAACTCATATTGCAAAGTAAAAGTGAAAATGCATGAAGGTAGAGGGGCAGTTTGGCTAAGATCCTGACTATTCGGAGATACATTGACCCAGATAATGGATCAGGTTGTCTGGGCTAATGAGACCATTTAGTTTGGAAACTGTGGCAGGACCTTTAACCACCCAGAACAGGGAATTCTCTGTCCTGTAACCTTTCTATTATAGCAGCATTTCACCATTGTAATTCTCTAACACATAATGGTGTTTAAAATGTCTGCTGAATACTTCTAAGTAGCAGCTGTGTGGGAAAGTCCATTTATAATAGAGCCACATTTCCTCTGGTTAGCAGTAACCCTTCTATTCTGAGTTAGCTGTTTGTTTTAGTTAGTGGGAGTAGCATTGACAGCTGTCGCGGAGCAGCACATATGGAACAAAAATCTTTGTTTTTCTTTGCTTCGCATTTTCCCTTTTGTTTGTCTCTTCCACTGTATGTTTAAATGGAAGCAGGTTCCACAGCAGCACAGTGGTGACAGAAAACCAGACACACGAATGTGTCCAGATTTTAAGATGTGTAAAGCTATTCTAGGAAGAACTGCCCCTTAGGTTATGCAGTAGTGTGTGGACATGTGTTCAGCTGGCATATGTAGATCTACATGTGGTGACTCAGTGTGTGTTCAGTCATTATCACATTTTTATTCTTCACATTTAATTTGGCAATAGTAGACTTAAAGATGTGACAGTATGTGTCATGGTAGTGCAGATGAAAACATATTGCAATTTATCATGGGTAAATTAAAGTTTGAAAGCACCAGAGAGCATTAACTAAACGCTACAGAAAGTGTTGAACATCTATCATCGGTGCTTACCTACATTTATTTAGGAGCAGTTTGCTGAGCACACCTTTTCTGCATCATTTTGCTAAGCAGTTGATCGGAGCAAGTGGTTACACCTTCACCACTAGATGGAAGCAGTGTAGCAACAAATATACACATTTCAGACTGCAAACCAGGGTCTTAACCTAACAGCACCGTGTTGAGATCCAGTCCATGAGACACTTTCACTATGCAGTTAGAATTTATTTGATACATCTCTTTATTTCTTTTATTTTTATTTTATATTAGTCTTTTATGTTAGACTAACCATTTTATTTTCAAGGAAGAGAAAAGAGTTTTAAGCAGATTTACTGTGAGAAAAAACGCACTAGAGTTTTTTCTTCACTCTGTATGGATGAGATATAAATGAAATGAATTATAAAGATCCAACGCAGGTGAACACCTCTAACATCTCTGTCTCTTCCCCTCACTCCACCAGGCGGTCTACGACCTTGCAAATGTGGCTTGTAAGTGTCATGGAGTCTCTGGTTCCTAAGGAGAAGTATGACAGTGCGGCTGCCATGCGCATTGGACGCAAGGTAATAAACTCATAATAGATGCATCTCTCCCTCTATGGTGTCCATAATTTGAATAGAAATACACCAACTATGTCTTTCTTTATGTCATTCAGGGAAAGCTCGAGCTGGTAGACAAGCGCTTCAACCCCCCGAAACCGGAAGACCTGGTCTACATTGACCCTAGCCCAGACTACTGCCTCCGCAATGAGACCACAGGCTCACTGGGCACCCAGGGCCGCCTCTGCAACAAAACCTCCGAGGGCATGGATGGCTGCGAACTGATGTGCTGCGGCAGAGGATATGACCAGTTCAAGACCTATAGACATGAACGCTGCCACTGCAAGTTTCACTGGTGCTGCTACGTCAAGTGCAAACGCTGCACGACACTTGTGGACCAGTTTGTGTGTAAATAGCATGTTGAGAAAAGACAGACTGATGAATGGGGAGGAAAAAGGAGGAGAAGGGACAGCAGGTGAGGAAAGAGGAAGCAATGAAAGTGAAGGATAGAAGACAGAATGGTGATGTTTCAGGGTTTTTTCAGGAAGAGCTGAGGCACATCGATGCCAAAGCTGCCCTTATTTTTGTCCTTCCTACCTCCACTTATAAGTCTCCTGCCTTTTTACACCAAGTGCAAAAGCTGCCCACAGCACCTATGTGGCCATTTTTGTGTGTAAACAGCAGAATGATTAATTGATAGGTGAATGGGAGAAGGGACAAAAGTAAGAAGCACAGAGGAACTTCCACACTCTCTGAGATTCTTGTTTTCCCACCGCTCCCTCAAGCTGCTTTCCTGTATATTATTCTGATCACAACCCTGAAGGAAGGACGGAAGGAAGACAATACAGATCAACAAAGAAGGACCTCAAGGATGGATGGATCTAGCAGGTGAAGGTGGAATAACTTGATCCTAAAACCAGGAGATGTAGCTAGTGTGAGATGATAATGAGGAAGTGAGACATTAAATAAATATATAATTAAATAATAAGTAACATACAACTCTGATTGTGAGACTCAAACAAACCTGAGAAACAGTTTGGAATCTGGTCACATTTTTTGGGATTCACACAAATCGATGCAGTCTTCATGGAATTTAAACCATTTGACTTTGGACCGAGTGGTGTCACCGTTTCAAAAACCTATTGACCCTGCAAGAGAAATTCTTTGCTGACCTTGCCAAACACACTTGTACAGGAAAGCAGAAAAGTCCAGACTGAAACAGATAGTAGAGAAAAAACAGAGGTGGATTCAGTTAATAGGGGTACAAATGCTAAAGGGGTGAATGGAGGGAATAGAGAAAATGCAACATGACTTTCAAAAACAGCATTAGAATGATTTGACTTTGGATGATTTTGCTTCACACTTCACCAGCTGATTTGGAAATTTGGGGATTGTTGATTTCTGTTCAAAAATGCAATAAATGCCAAATCCTCAAGTCAAAAAGGACAAATGACTTACAGCACACACGCTCCATTTTATTTGCTACACCTGCTATTAGCTGTATTACCTGAGTACATTTCCAGTGCTTCTGACCTGACATGTGTCTGTGCAGGTTAATGAAGCTTGGTGATTGCAGTTATTTTAACATGCAGGTTGTCTAAACAAGCGGCTCGCAGTGGCACTCGGGCTCCATGACTTTCATCTGACCGGAAGGTGAGCGACACCTCCATTAGTGAGATTAATGTGTTGTATCTACCTTAATGAACCTGCACTAAGACACATGTTCACTCCGAGTGGACTTCTTCATCTCGTTTTTGTTCAGTCAACAAAATGTGACGTCAATTTGGCAGTTTTTCCACCAATTTAACATTTTACACCTGAAGTTTGCAGTTTGGATGGGTTGTGTTGACAATATTGTACGTTTCCAGTGTACTCACATTGACACAGCTAATATGTAACATGAAGAGGGCTAAGTGAACCGAAGACGACTGAATATGCTGTGGAAAAATTAATATGTGAGCACAAAACCTACGGAAAAGACTGCAATTTATTATGAGCTACTTCTAAAAATAAATAGTAGATCAGGAAAAAAGTATATTTTGTTATTGTTCTCATTCTGTTTTCTGTGTTTTATGAGTATTATTGCCTATTCTTTTGATAAACTAGTCTTTGACAATGAGGCTGTCTTCTGTGTTTGAGTCTGCTGTGGCTCTTTCAGAAAAGTCTGACCCCGGCCAACATTTTATTGTGCTCCCTGCCAACATGACAACCACAGAGAAGTCTTTGTTGTTCAGTGAGTGTTTTGGAAAATGGTGCCACAAACAGAGACAGGAAGTAATGCAGTACAAATAACAGTAGCATACTTCTTCTCACTGATGAGAGAGGACCCTGTTTAGGATTTGAAAAGCTGCTGAAAGTCTGAAAAATTAGAAATGGAAGAACTTTCCCGTGCAATTTAAAAGTAGATTGAAGTCATTCAAATTAGAAATGGACTAATGTAGAAGTGACAAGTAATTCTAGAAAATATCATTGCTTAAATGGTTGAAAATGTCATTTTACTGAGATTATAGTGTGTCATTTGTAATGACACACATGTGCAGTATATTTGTTTTTACAAAAATTTCAAGGTACATAATTAAATTTGTTGGCTTTGCCTTTTCCTAAAATTGTACAGATGAATCAGTATTCTGAATGGCTTCTTCAGAGAGGCGACAACGAAGCAGAATTGGCTTTTACAAGTTTTCATACATTTGTGGCATTAAATTACATTTGTCCAAGGAGGGCACAAAACTGTCAAATCAAAACTCTCCTGTGAAACCAGTGGTAATGAAATTCTTGTTACAGTCGTAATCAAAGTCATTTCATAATAACACTCTACATTGAAAACTACAATACATTGTAGGTGGGTAAGCTTCTGGAGGAATCATAACCTAATAATTATTTTGAATGTTTTCATGTCTCACTGATAGACAGTATAGCTGAAGTTATCCAGTGCAAATGGATAACTTGTGTCCAACCTTTAATATACCCAGAATCTTAGTACAAGATGAATTTTATAACATTTTAATATTAAGTTCCTTAATTTTTTTTTCTCTTTTGACAAAGTGACAGAAGTGTGAACACTTTCCAAATATTACAAATATTATTCTCAACTACAGGATGAAAAATCTGTTTCTTGGAGACAACAATAATCCCCACATGCTGAATCTGGACTTGATCTTTACATTTACAGTTCAGTTCATCTGAAGTGACACTGAATGAAAAATCCTTAAATATGTCCCTTAATAGCAGAATATTTTTATGTGTAAGATTACTGTTTTTGATTCAATTGATTCATCAGATATTTGTGGTTCTTAAAGCCTGCTGTTCTTTACTGGTTCTCTGATTTCTACTTTATTTTCTCAGGCCTCTGTGATGCCATCAGACAGGCATACAGCTTATCCACCCCTTGACTGCTGTTCTGCTCCATGGACCCTAGGCTGCTTTTAATTCTGTGTTTGTGTCTCAAACTGCATTTTGTCAACCTCTGACAGCTTGTAGCACTGAATGTCAAGCACACAGTCATGGATACACAGGTCTGTACAGTGACCTAATTATCAGTCACGTATTGTTTACTAAGTGTCATGTTCACTTTATGTTACATTTCTTTGTTCTGTATTATGTCTGCATGTGACACATTCCTGAATTATTCCAAATCCAGGTACTTTTAGCTGCTCACCATTAATTGGATTAGACCCGGACCAGGGCAGCATGGCTGGCCTACAGCACTGTCTCTGTGGAAGCCTCCTCACTTGACTTGTGTGTGTGCGCGCGCGCGCGTGTGCACGTGTGTAGGTGATGTTTCCTCTCTTTGTAGTAAAACTGCTGCTTGTGTTTGTTGCTTTGGGTGTATTAATTTAGATGGTTTCTCCATGTATGTGTTGTATATTCTGTCATGATGAATGTGTGTACATGTACTGTAAGGTTATATTTGCTGAGATTAGACCAGTGAAAGTGTGGCCAGATGGTCTGTCTAACCCTTTTCACCTGACAGGTATCTGCTGCTGTGATGCCGCTAATTTCCAATCTCCGACACAAACAACCAACAATCAGGTTGTCTGTCTTTTATCAGGACTTTTGTCACTTTCTTATGAGATAATTACCGTTTTTAAATCATTACAATACTGTTTTTTCCTTAAGCCCTTAAAGTACTATTTACAATTCCTGTGGAGAGAATATGATGGATGTCATGCCTTCCGTTGTGCAGGAATGTTGGCTCTGACATTTTACTTTACCATCAGTCAGTCTGCAGCTTTTATGCCTTAAGTCAATCTTGTACATTTTGCACCATTCTCAAGAACAAAACTCACTTAAACCACCACCATTACTCCAACCAGTGAATTACAGAATTTAAGGGGGCATTTCTTAGAAAGAATTATTTTAATATATTCATCTGGTTTCAGCCACCACTGACACCTTGAAACTTTTATCCTGCCTCCTGAGATGTTTAGTGATCCAGAACTGTCCCGCAGCTTTGACTTGGTTACAGATGTTGCCCTTATCTTCATTTGTCCAGCTTTAACTGTGCTCTTCCTGGAGATGCAGTTAGCAAACTGACACAAAACTTCTAGCTGTTGATCTCTCTGTACATGTGCACATAAAGTGGCCTGGTGCACCAAAACAGTATGGTATTCGCAGGACCCAGCTCATTCTTGATCTTAATCCTTGGTTCTTACCTGGAGGAGCTATGAGTATTTGACTTCCAGCTGGCTAATTGTGTTGTCAGTGCCATGCTATGCTCACTATATTACTGTAAGAATGACTAATACAATTGATCTTAAAATCTTTTCTCATTTATTTGTGCTCTTTTGGCAGTGAGCAATATGATTTTTCCTCTACACCCTATTATTGCTTTGTTGAAACAGAAGAGCAGGAACCAAGAGCTGTGGTTGCTGCTCCTATTGTGTTCATTCACACAAAGCTGGAGTACATATGGCATAAAATCTCTAAAACAGACAAATCTGTGAATAAAAAACTCAGTATATTTAGTTGCACAGAGAACATAAGAGTCATTCTTATTGGTAAGGATGTCACTGAGATACAGCAGTATTTTTATATTAGTTCTTTCACACTGCTAGACAAAGCTACTTTTTGATAATTTTAGTGTAGCTGATAATAATGCCAGAAGCAAACTCTACATTGGGATCTTACATGTGGTGTAGATTAGCCAGCAGCTGTTGTAGTTAAGATGTCTGAAGATGAACTCTGTTCTGGATTTGGTGACGTGGAAAAGACACCACCTGTACACACTCAAACACAGAGTACAGTCATGGTCTGTCCCATTCTTTTCCATTTATCTCTCGTCTTTTTCCACACAAAGAGCTCAAAGTGCAAGTCAAACATAAATGCTCAACCACTTATCTGTAAGCTCATTCACCCATATGCTTTTTACAATCTTTGGCTGGAGAAGAGTCTCAGTAAACCAGAATAGCTAATCTTCTCAGCATGGTACAGTAAATGCAGTACATGTACAGTGAATTGGAAGCTTGATTCTCACATTATTACTTTTCAAAAAAATTCAAACTGATGTTTTATTACTGTAACATCAACATCTTAGGAATAATTTTTAGTTACAGACAGCTGCTCACTGAATGTAGATGTTCTGTGTTTATCATCTATCATGCACCTGTTATGGTTTAGTCCCCCTCACCGGAAGGGTGATGGGGAACTGGGGTTGGACTCAAGATGGCCGACCCAGGTGCTAGTACAAAAAAGGTGGTTTAATGGAATAAAAACAAAGTGACAACAAAACAGGGTCCATAATACATACAAGGGAAGGGCAGTGATGACCAAGGAGACCAGGACGGTAAACACACAAACTAACGACAGGAACTAGGATAGAAGGAGGATGAGAACGGACAGGTGAACAAAAAGAACCAACGTAAACAATGTAATCCACAGCACAGAGACTGTCAGCGTGGAAGACAAAGCACGTATTTCTGTGTTGCTAACCGCATAGTTAGCGTGATAAGGTCAAGCCAAAACGCACAGAGACTGTCAGCGTAGCATCTTACAAGAGGTATAAATAAGGAAGCCAACAAATCACCGGAATACGCCTCAGGTGTGCGCACCGACCCACGAGTCACTAATTACCCGATGCGACACAGCTGAGGCGTTGATCCCGCAAAAAGGGAGAGCAGGAGAGGGAAAAAGAAAGAGAGGCAGGTCGCACCGAGTGGATCTGACAGCCCCTGCATTACTGGTTTATGTGTCAGCTGGTCACCTGAAACCACACACATGTGCAAGCCACAGATCAGACAACCACTATAGAAACTGCAAAATGTACAAAAAGCTGAACATATAAATCAATGAATCAACACAAGACTACTGCTGCAGGATCAAATGGGGCTTTTGCCAGAATATGGAGTATATTTACTCAAATCAAGGCCGTTCTGTGTTCAAAATGTATTTTTAAGGGTCAATATTCATAGTAAGTTAATGGCTTCAATTATTTGAAGAAACATTTTGGTGCTATTATCAGCACAAAAGGTAAATCCAGGTTCTGCTATTGGAAGATTAAGGTTGCTTTTCATTGTAAATGCATTTGAAAAGAGCTCATGCAAACTGCAAAATGAAAATGTTTAGCATCATCATTGGCAAATTAAAACCATTAATTGAGCTATTATCAAACCACTTTAATCAAGTCAGGGCAGCAAACATGATAAGTCTATTAAAATGAACAGCAACACCAGGAGAGGTGTAATCACGCATGAAAGAGTTTGTCTAATTTCTGAACCATTACACAAGCACTGCAGTTAAAAACAGCATGTGA